CCCCAAAACCCCAAAACCCCAGACATCATTATAGTGCTAATTATGAGTGAAACATTTTTTAGAATTAGAATAAAATTTAACCTCAAAAAGATTGATTTTATCCTTTGGCAAAAGGCAATCAATCTCATGAGAGGTGTGATTTTCATGTCAATCATTTCTTTGTGGCGTTTCCTTTAGCAGCACCTCCCATTCTTGAAGCATTTGGGCTTGGTCCTCTTGGACTTCCATGAGGTCTAGGACTAAGTCTCTTCTTGAACTGATGAGCACCAATAACTGATTTACCATCACTGAATTATTTAATCAGGTCGCTTTTATTTGAATCAGTATCAATTACTCTATCCAAATCAAGCTCCTCTTCTCCTTCAAAATCTTCGTAAGCTAGCATTCTATTAAGTTCTTGAGCTCCATAATAGAACATAAATTCATCAATGCCCATATATCCACCTCCAACTCTGATCAATAGTTTCCCATTAATGATTTTAGCAAAGATTTTCTTAGATCCAAACATATAGAAGCCGTTGCCTAGTCTTGAGATTGGTACAGGGCAGTTATTGTTATTTACCCAATCAGCGAGAAGTTGATCGACGTAATCTCCCTTAATTGGCTTGTAAGCAATTGATCTCTTTGGTCTACTGTTAATAAAGTTGATCTGAAGTTGATTGTATTAAACTCTGGCTTGTTTGATCAAGGCTAAGTTAGTAAGAGTTTGTTTCTTGATTCTGATGTTGTGCTTCAATAAATCAAATTACTTGATATCTTGCTTCTTTAGATCCTCTAGTTAAGCATGAACCTTTTTCAATGCTTGTCCTGGTTGCTGGTAGTCCTTCTTAATCTGAGCTAATTGATTGCCAATCTATTCCAAAGGCTTTAATAGTTCGGTTAGATCTTTATTTTATCTGACCTCCTCTAAATCCTTCTGTAATTCAACATCTAATTCAGAGGCTTAGTTATCAAATTGAAGAATTCTCTTTGAGAGTTCGAGACATTCTTACTCTCTTCTAGCAAGCTTTTCTCTAGCCTACATATTCTAGAAGACTTTTTTACTTCTTCCTACTCTTTGGAGTAAATCATTAACGGCAATACCATTTGCCTGGATCTCATCATCAATCTAGGCGATCATTTCAGCTCTTTTCTCAATTTCAGCTGAGCTTAAATCTCCTGATTTGTTCAAACTCTTTTGGCATTATGCTGCTTTATCAGTAAGCTTCTCGTTTTAATCAGCAGCATTTTTATGCTTCACAACTAATTCCTTAATTTCTGTTCCAAGTTTATCAACAAAATCTTCTTCTTGAGTATCTGAAGTATAACCGTCAAATTCCTCGAATAACTCTTACAAAACCTCAAGATCTTCTTTAACATTAGCTAGTTTTGAAGTAAGATCTTTAGCTCTAAGATTGTATTGGTCAAGTTTTTTCTCAAAATCTATACTTCCGTGTTTATTCTTTAAAAACTAGATTTTGTTGTATAGACCTGAAAGCGATTTATCTTTTTCTGCAAGTTGAACTCTGAGGTCTTTAATTTCATTGATCAATGGAGCAAATGTTGAGGGATCATCTCTAAACAAATCTCTTACTCTAATCTTGTCTTTTACTGCTTAAATCTTTTGCTTTAATACATCCTTTTCTCCAATCTATCTGGCGATATCTTTCTTGATGTCATTAACAATTGAAACTGAGTCTTTAACACTTGCAGCATTTACCTTAGATGCCTCTTGAATCACCTTATCTAACTCATTTTGTTCAATTTCAAGGTCTCTTGATTTATCTTCCAAGATTACTAAGGCATCTTGTCTAAGTTTAAAGTTGTCTTAAATGTCAGCATCTCCAAGTTTCTGTCTTCTCTTTGTAAGTTCTCTAAGAAGTTGATCTGCCTTTTTGTGTTACTTCTACAAAACATCTTAAGTTTCTTCTCCTAATTTCGCAAGTTCTTGCAATGCCTCAATTGCTTGAAGTCTTAATCCTTTCAAGCTGGAATCTTTTAGTTTTTAGACGTTAGAGGCTAAAGTCTTGCATTAACCATCGATTTCATCTTTCTGACCCTTGAATACTTTACAAGCATCAAGCATCTTCTTAATTGATGACTGTCTTACTTCGTAGTCTGGGTTATTAGTCATAGATTAAGTGACATCCTCTAGACCCTTTATTATTTTGTCTGAATCATTTAATTTCTTTTGAAGAGATTCAACACTATTTGATGTATCTCTTAATAACTTTTCAATATCATCCAAGAGTGCTTCTTTTGACCCTCCCTTGAACATAAACTTAGACCATGATTCCTTTCTCTTCTCAACAGATGATTCAATAATGGCTAATTCTTTCTCTTATACTTCAGTTTTCTTCACACATGTGCTAATCTCATTAATGAATTCTTCAATCATGCCGGCAGTTAGTTTACTATGGACTCCAGTTTGGTTTTTGATTTACTCTTATTCATTAAGACTGTTTCTTATCTTATGAAGGACCTTTCTAATGAGATTTTTCTGATCATCAATAGTTTTTAACTCAGCTCTATCTTTTGTATTTTCCTCTTGCTACTTCTTACCTTCCTTTTGGATATCATCGTCATTTGAATAGAGATGGAGTCCTTTCTTGATATCTATTTCAAAATCATTGACGCTGTTGTTGAGTTCAATGATTTTCTTTGAGACCTTATCTACTTATTGTTCTGCCTCTTTGAATTTTCTTTCACAATCAAATAATGTACCTCCAAGAATGTCACTGATGAATTGTTCAATCACTACCTGCTTAAGACTGATTTATTCACTGAGAGCATACTACTAATCTTAGATCTTCTTAAGTTGATTCATTTCTTGAAGTTGATTGAGAATATTTTTAAGCTGCTCAAGAGAGACAATCTTGTCTCCAATTAAGCTTAGTTCAAGAGTGACTTTGTGAACTGCTAATTTTTAGTTGTCAAGATCTTTATCTAGAGCTTACTTCTAATCTCTAAGAGCTTAAAGATCTTTTAGATCTTGTTGAAGTTGCATTGCTCTCTCTGGAGTAAGGGTGAAGCCAGCGATCTCAATCTTGAGATCTCTTTCCAACTTATCTAGTTTGCTTTGAAGTTTTGAGGAAAGACCATCAAACTTAAGGATATCCTATCTTTTTTCTTTCTCCTCTTATCTACATTCACTCAAAACTTATCTCTTTTCCTGGAATTTATCTATTCTTTCTTGAACTTGGTCTTGAATTTGCTTCATTTCCTATTCAACTTGGATTCTAACTTGCTTCTTAAGCTCATCAGTTTTGTAATCAAGGTCAGTGTTAACTTCATCAATCAATTCCTCTAATTTAATTATGTTTGAGTTTTCTAGATCTAGGTCATCAAACTTTTGCTGATATTGCTTAAGTAGTTTCTTTAGCTTATCTCTTTCTTGTTTATAGCCATCTAGTTTTGATACTTGCTACTCAATCTGCTTATTTTAAGTTTAGAGTTCATTTTCCTTTTCTAGATCTCCTTTGACTCCATATACTACTGATTATCTACCCTTTAATGGAGAAAATTCTGACTCTTTAAGGAATGAAGCCTCCTTCTAAAGGTTGTCAAGATTATTGGAACTGTTCAAGAGTAGCTTGTCAAGTTCATTGATGTTGTCGTTGATCTTCTTAAGTTTATTTTAGATTGATTGCTTGACCTCTTATTTAACTTGAAGCTGCTTGAATCTTTCAATGAATTCAAGTTGATAGAAGAACTTAATGTCTCTATTCACAATCTACTGCTCAGTGCCAGCACTCTTAAGGTAAGAAACTTAAAGATCTATATTTAGCTCTTTTTGGACATCATACTCCTCAATATCATAGAGTATCTATCTAATCTAGTACTTGATGTCATCTCTTTGTTGCTTGTTAAGGTCTGTGAATACATTATCCTGAATCATGCTAATAATTTAAGTCTCAGTTTCCTCCTTTAGACTCTTGCATTTTCTAAGGAACTCAGTCTCAGTATCTCTGCTTAGATCAAAGTAACTCTTTTGGAGTCTAACAATGTCAATAATGTCATTTTCTCTAGCAATGAGATGTTCTAGCTCGAGCTCTAGATCTTTTAGTGATTTAGTGTTATCATCAACTAGAACTTTGGTAGCTTGCTTAAGATCTTTGATGAGAATCTTATCATCAAGTTTCTTCTTTTAGGCTATTATGCTGAATTTAGTTTCAATTAATTAGTTCAAGTCTAATTCAAACTTCTCAACCTTTTGCTTAAAGCTATCGATACCAATAATTTTCTTAATGTCGGCATCTGTCACGATATGATTTGCTTTCTCTAGTCTCCATTTAATCTGGTTGAATTGACGTTACTTGCTGTCAAGTTTCTCCTCGAGCTCATATAGAATGTTCTCAAAGGAGCGAGCCTTTCTTTCAACTAGTGCTTATTCCTTCATTATAGTCAAGAACTCATTCTTTTCTTAGAATGTTTTCTGGATTTCTTAATCAGCAACTTCTAATTGCTTAAGAGATTGCAAAAGCTTAACATTTTCTTCGAAAAGTCTCTTTTCCTCGTCTAGATGCACTGCTAACTCATCTTGAAGTTTGTGTAGTTCATCGTCCAAGCTTACAATGTCTTTAACCTTAGCTTCAAGGGTTTGATTTTCAAGCTCGAGCATTTGGTTGTGAGCAGATGTCTTCTTGACCTCCTCTTGCTTTTTACTGTTCTCATCTTCAGCTGCCAAGAGTAGCTTAGTCAGGTATTGAGATTCTTGCTCTAGTTTCTGAATCAAGAGATCATCATCCTCTTGTGTGAGTGAATCAGCAATTGACCCGTCTTGGCTCATGCTTGATTTTCTTTAAGATTCGATCAGTTCGAACTCTTGATCAAGTTTTTCAAGCTCTACGAGTAGCTTGTTCCTCTCAGCGTCTAGAACATCTTCTTGATCTTCTATATCGTCTAGCTTTCTTTTTTCTGATTTGATTTGTAGTTTGACATCAGTTAATTCCTTAGTAAGGTTTTCAATCTGTCTCTCTTTTTCTTCCTTTTCTTTATCAAAGTTCATAGATGGTTTTAGTTTGTATGTTTGTATGTGCTTAAGCAAAGATTTTAATTTATTAGTATATTTAGTATATCTTAACTTTATATAATATTCATCCAATTTTTCTAAGGCAGTATCCTACCCTCTTGGGGTTTTGGGGTTTTGGGGTTTTGG